GTCGTAGTAGTAGTAGTAGTAGTGGTAGTAGTAGTAGTAATAGTAGTAGTAGTAGTAGCAGTAGTAGTAGTAGTAGTAGTGGTAGAAGTCGTAGTAGTTGAACTAGTAGTAGTAGTAGTAGTAGTAGTAGTAGTAGTAGCAACAGTAGTAGTAGTAGTAGCAGTATCAGCAGTAGATGTAGTAAGAGCAGTAGTAGTAGTAGTTGTTCTAGTAGTAGTAGTAGGGATATTGGCAGTAGTAGTCGCAATATTAGTAGTAGTAGTAGTCGTCGTAGTAGTTCCAGTAATAGTAGTAGCAGTAGTAGCAGGAGTAGTAGTAGTAGTATTAGTAGTAGTAGTAGTAGTAGTAGTAGTAGTAGTAGTAGTAAGTGTAGCACTCGCAGGTTAGCAAAAAAACTGTAGTAGTAGTCGTCGCCGTCGTAGTCGTAGTCGAAGCCATTGTCGTAGTTGTAGTAGCAGTCGTAGTAGTATTAGTAGTAGTATTAGTCGTATTAGTATTATTATAATTTATAGTAGTAGTAGTAGTAGTAGTAGCAGGAATATTAGTAGCAGCAGTAGCAGCAGCTGCTGCAGTAACAGTAGTAGTAGCAGTATTAGTAGTAGTAGTACTACTACTACTACTACTACTACTACTACTACTACTACTACAAGCAGCAGTAGAGGTAGTAGCGGTCGCAATGCTGATGGTAGTATGAGCGTATATGAAACAAGCGGAGCTTGTTTGTGGCGAAAAATGAAACGCACACGGCAAGTACAAGGCCGCATTTGTTCTAAAGAATGAATGAAACGTACACGGGATGTAGTTGACATGTAGTCCTAGTTGTAACATGTTATAAACCGTATGCGGAATGTATCTGGCACGTGAACGTAACGTGTACGAACAAACTCGAAATGCATCCGAGGCGCGTACGGAACGCATGCGCAATTGTGCACGGACGGTAGACGACAGGTCTACGACATGTACAACACGCATGCGACATATACGCGAAACGCATACGCCACGCACGCACACCACATACGACGCGTAACCGACCAGCATAGAAACACAACGCGAATGCAACATTTGCATCACGCGCGCGGGACGTAAACACATCGTTCGCAGAACGCACGCACGACGCATCGGCAACGCCAACACATGAAGCAGCACATGCCACTTTTACCGGGGAAGGGGGGGCAGAGGGGAAACCCGAATTGACGCGTCGTCGCCAAGGTCCTCGGGCGCCCCGCGCGGCGTTGCCCGCGGCTGGCGACGCGCGCTGGGCGAGAGACGATCTGACATCTTCTTTCGGCCGCGACCTGGCGGGGCACTGCGAACAGGAAGCTTCGCGGAGGAGCTCCTTGCCTGGCGGCAGCGGAGGCGACGGCAAACGGATGCGCGCCGAGACCTCAGCGGGCGGAGCCGAAGTCGGCGAGGAGAGCGACGAGGACGACGCGGCGGTGGAGGTCGCGAAGGCGCCCCTCAGCGCAACCCAGCAGATTCGAGGCCTCGAGGGCCGCCTGCTCTCCACCCACCTGTCGGCGAGGGCCCCCCCGCTGAACGGGGTCGCGGCGGCGGCGGGCAAGAACTATATGGAGGCCATCGCCGACAAAAAAGCCGATCGCCAGCGCGGCCCGCCGCCCCCGACAGACGGCGCGGCGGCGATGGAGGGCCCCGCGAAGCAACGGGCGCTGATCGACGCCCCAGCGGTCAAGGAGGAGTTGGACATTGCGAAGGAGTTCTCAGGGCGGCTCAAAAACGAGCCTTTGCCGGTAGCGCGCGGATTCGCGAGGTGCCGGCGCGTCGAGAGCGCGCTCCAGAAAGAGGGCAGTCCGGCGCTGGCGCGGCACGCGCACTACGTCCACAGTTGCGCGAACCTCAGGGGCATGCTGATGCCGATGAACGCCGCGTTGACCAAGCTGCGCATGGCCTTGGGGGGCGCCCCCAAGATCGGCCCGCCCCCGCGCAACACAGGGGGGCGCAAGATCCAGAACAGTCTCGAGAAGATGCTGAAAGGCGGCCGCAGGAAGAAGCAGTAGGACATGATGATCGGACGCGCGGGCCGAGTCTGAGCGCAGCTGAGCGGGCTAGCGCTCGCTTTCAAGGCGCCCGGGCCCCGCCAGAGCCGAAGGCCGCTCCGAGGCAACGGCGCGGGAAAGGCCCCGGCGAGGCAAGTGAGCTTTAGTTGTGCACCCATCTGGCGATAGTAAGCGAATTCTGCCCCAACCCACGCCGTCGGCCCGTGCCCCTGCGAAATGCGGCCGAATTGTCGCATCCGCTACGGCTGGGGCTTTCAGCAGATTTCGCCGCAACGCCCCCCCCCCCCCCTCCCTTCCTAGGCAGGTTCTGTCGCAACGCGCGCCGTCGGCCCGCGCCCCTGCGAAATGCGGCCGAAGTGTCGCAGCCGCCACGGGTAGGGCTTTTTACAGCATATTTCGCCGTGACGCCCCCCCCCCCCCATCCCCCTCGCCCTCCTCGTCCGCCCCCTTTCCCCTTGCGAGCGCGAGCTCTGTGAGTATGGGGAGCTCTGGTTAGACGCGCTGGGGGTGCGTGAGCTTCCCGGCGCGATAGCTGGCAATCCGCCCCAGCGGCCCCTGGCGCCCCCGCTCGGGCGTCCAAGGGGCGCCCGCAGATTGTAGCGGCATCCGGCCAGTGCCGCCGATCCGGGGCGCCCCGCAAGATGGCGATCAGGACGACGCTGCAGGGGAGAGGGCAGGGGAGGGGGTCTGCTCTGCAGGCGGAGTCCGCTCGGCAGAGGGAGGGGCTGCAGGG